GCGATATAAGAAATAAGCTGTTTCTGAAACCATTACAAATCAATTAATACTTCACACATACACTCGTTACATTTTTGACAACCTCTTCCGTTCCAATATCGCAAATCTTTGTCAATAAATTATGCAACAAATAGATGTAATAAGCAGAAATATATAAAAAATAATAGATGATTCTATGATTAAATATGTGTACTCACCGCCTTCATCTTCGCTGTCACTCATAAATGTCTCCTGCATAGATTCGGGTGCTTGGACTCTGTATTTCTCTTCAATGGTGACAGTATGAGTCGTCGTGATGATAGTTTCTGTGACAACTTTGAGCGTTTCAATGACACTTATGTAGCCAAGCTTTTGCGCGATGTCCAGAGCAGTCTGGCCATTCTGTAAGAAATATTGTATTGTTGTGTCATTGAACGTGACTATATTATGCTTTAGTAGCTTCCAATATAGAGAATTAAATGTGGATGACAAAACTTACATTCGTTACAGCATTCGGTTTAGCTTTACTTTCCAATAATAAATTAATAACGAGCGTATGTCCTTGTTGCGCAGCTTGATGAAGAGGAGTATAGCCAGCGTTGGTGCTGCTATCAACAGCAGCACCAGATCTCAGAAGAAATCGTACCATAGCTGCTTGACCAAAATGAGATGCTACATGTAATGGTGTATATCCAGCCTAGAAAAAAATACGATGAAATATAAGATTTCCTTTTGTATTTTGGATATATCTATTAAATAATTAGATTTAATTTTATGTGACTTTATACTGATGTTGTATTGATGATTAATCTGTGTCTTATCTTAATCTTATTTGCAACGACACTTCAAGACCAACAGCAGATACTCTACTGTATCATGTAAAGAAAGATAGATGTTGTTTCAAAGTTATCAATGAATATATAGAGCAATGAACAGTTACTTATGAAGATGATTACATCATCTATGCTAATTCGATTATGTGTAAAGCGCTAATATTGTAACTAAAAATACAATTGTAATCGTATTGACAATGACGAATACTTATTTTTAATTAAAGTATTATTTCAGTAAGATTAAATATATACAAAAGTTGGAAAAAACTTATGAATATAAATTATCGTGTTACCTTAGTTTTAGCATCAATCTGAGCACCATTCTTCACAAGAATGGAGGCGACGTTTACTTTATCTTCTTGTGCGCATAAATGTAGAGGTGTAAGGCCATTCTGCAAAGTATAAAAATAAATATAACGTAAGATTTTATAAATAAAGGTTGGTTGAAAATTACATCGTGTTCTTTTTTTTCACCTACCTTCGCTTTGTGATTTGTGTCTGCTTTATGCTCGATAAGAAGGGTTGACATATCAGTATGGCCTTCTTGTGCGCTCAAATGTAATGGTGTGAAACCAGCCTTTGACTCTGCATTAGCTTTCGCTCCGTATTCTAATAAAGTAGTTGCAATGTCCATCTATCGAAAAATAATTTTATTTACCATTGTAAATAATTTTAATATTAAAGTTGCGTGATTATACCTGATTTTTGCGTGCGGCGATATGCAGTGGCGTATGACCATTTTTAGCCATGGCATGTGGTGAAGCTCCTTTATCAAGTAAAAGTAAAGCTACGTTTTGATGATCATAATGAGATGCTACATGAAGAGGCGTAACTCCATTCTGCAATTCAAGATAATAAAATATTCGTCAAAATATTACGACGTGTATGCGGTGTAATGCGTGCAAATAAATAAATTTTATTTTTAGTATTACAAAAAGTGCTTACCTTTCCTTGAGCATCAACGGGTGCGTTCTTTTGTAATAACAATCGAGCTACGTTCATATTGCCATACTTGGCCGCTAAATGCAAGGGAGTAAATCCTTTCTTGGTCGTTGCGGTAAGCGAGGCATTATTTTCTAATAAAACGGATGCAACCTGTGTACGATTACAGAAACATGTTAAAAAAGAAATATGTTTCTCGTTTTATGTTGCATATGTAATATTTTTATTATAATCTTACCTCCTCCTGGCCCTCTTTAGCAGCGATATGAAGCGGTGTATACAAATCCTTCGTTGTAGCATCTACGCTCGCACCATGTTGCATCAATAACATCACGATATCGACGTTGCCCAAACGAGAAGCGACATGAAGCGGTGTCTGTTCCTCCTACAAACAATTCGCTTTTCTTTATATATATCCGCATTATTATATGAAACAAATTCATCTATAGCAAAAATTATCCGTATAAATTATTATTAATCAAACACTCCTTACTCTTGCTCTAGCGTCGACCTGGGCACCGTTTCTAAGGAGTATCCTAATAATATCAGTTTGGTTCGCTCTGGCAGCTAAGTGTAACGGCGTTTCGCCTCTCACTGTCGGTATATCGGGGCTAGCTTCGTGTTGTAATAGGTAAATCACGATATTCATACACCCCATAAAACTCGCTACGTGCAGCGGAGTTAATCCGGACTGTAAACAAATAAACACGATATTGTTAATTTTCACAACGATCGCAGCGTCAGAAACACGTGAGAAGAGAAACTTGAAAATGCCGTACCTCAGTCGTAGCTTCGATGCTCGCTTTATGTTTCAGGAGGAGTTCGACGACTTTTATACGATTCTTTTTGCATGCGATATGAAGTGGAGTAAATCCGTTGAGCGCTCGCGCATTGGGATCGGCGTTTCTATCGAGAAGCAGTTTAGCTACGCGTACATGGCCACAATGCGCAGCCACATGTAGCGCGGTCAAATAATCTACAGTCACTTCGTCCACGGGTGCACGGTGGTATAACAAAATTCTCGCGGCGTCGACGTGATCTCCTTGAGAAGCCATGTGTAACGGGGCAAGACCATTCTGTCAACGGAAAACAAGTGGTAATTAATCTTGCCGAGCAGGAAACGTTTTATCCGCGAGACGCGCGCGGCCGATTTATACCTTCGTCTTTGAACCAATAGGTGCCCCCTTCTCGATGAGAATGTCAACTACTTCATGATGGCCAGATCTGGCCGCGCAATGCAGAGGAGTCAAACCATCTCTCGTTTTTGCTTCAATGTTTGCTCCCTTGCTCATGAGAAGATTAACCATCTTAATTTTACCCCATTTCGCCGCCACGTGCATCGGTGTGATATTGTGCTGTAATTACACAAGAAGAGTCAGAATATTTGAATACTTTTAATCTCTTTTTTTCTGCAAAAGTTACCTTTGCCGCGAAATTAACATCCGCGCCTCTGTCGTAAAGCAAGGAAGCAATTCGATCGTTGCCATAATGTGCGGCTATGTGAAGTGGGGTGAAACCGCTTTTCGATGTTACATCAGGATTATGGTCGTTCTGTAACGGAAAGAAAATTGAAGAAACCGTACGTGAACTAATTTCTACTTGTTATTATTACAGTAGTGTTTAAAATACGAGTCGCGACTGACACGACTGACAGTGCGATAACTCACTTGTAAAAGTAGGGCAGCCGCCTTGCAGTCGTCTTTCTTAGCAGCGATGTGTAGGGCAGGGAGTCGAACTTTACCACGAGTGTCATTTTCTAATAGAACGGCCACTACCTTGTCGTGACCCTGTTGCATAGCCACTGCCAATGGAGTAAAACCATCCTATACGGAGAAACATTTAACGGTTATAAATAGAAAAAGATACGATCATTAAATAATATTTTGTCTGAGAAAATAAAATATTACAGATTTAAGAAGATAATAATAGTACTAAATGTGAATAAAAATTTAATAACGACGAGAAATGGAACAACGAACCTCGGTGGCCAAAGTTTGATTCGCACCCTTGCTGAGGAGATATTTGACCACAGAGTCATGATTTTCTTGGGCAGCCATATACAGCGGCGTGAATCCATTTTGCGATTGTGCATTCACAGAAGCACCTCGCTGCACTAGCAATTGTACAACCTCCTCTTGTCCAGCTGAAAGAAGATATCGGTGTCACTTGAATTATTCGTCTCGCGGAGAGACGACGCTTCGCGACGCGAGATATCGAGGGGAGTTCGCAAGCCTCGAGAAATAAAATGTTTATTTAAAAGCACTCGCGCGTCCTCGTCCCGTATGCATTTAATGAGCGACGCGGAGAGATAGGATGCGGAGAGAGAGAGAGAGAGAGAGAGAGTAGCGTATGCACACTCACCAAGAGACGCTATGTGCAATGCCGTGTTCCCTTTTTGGTAGCGGCGTCCACGATCGCGCCACGATTTAGGAGTTCTCTCACAATTTCCAAGTGGCCGTCCTTAGCCGCCAGGTGTAAAGCGTTTAAGCCATTCTGCAATATATATAAAATATGTATTATTATCGCCGAGGAGATCTTTTTCGAGATTCAGATAACGCGCGATAATTGTGGGCTACGTCAAAATTTGCAAGAGGCAACATATCGATTACTTACAGCGTTAGAAGCGTTGATATCTACTCCGGACTCCAAGTATTCCAAAACCTTCTCGAGTTGTCCGGCGCGAGCCGCTCGTAGAAATGCAGTACTGGGATCGCTCTGAAAAAAAGATGACGAAATACATGTCACTTTATTTATATCTGAAATTAAATTATTTGAGTAAAAGTTAAGAAGCCTTCGTGTTTCTCTGGAATCGCGATTTCTTCATTTTACTCAAATAAAATATTTTTTATATGAAGTTTCGTTTTCCAGAAAAACGACTTTAAATATTCGTCAAGCACGTATGCACTTAACACGCATTCGTAAACGTTATCAATTAACGTATCTTGTCTTTTTACGTATCCTTGAAATTCTTTTAATATCGGCAATAGTTATACAACACAAATATACGTGTGTTAGATACATACGTACTTGATAAATATTCAAAGTTTGTTTTCTTTTAGAAAGCAAAATCTTATACGAAAAATTTTTATCATTTTACATTTTTCATCTTATTCTTTTATGTAAAATTATTTCCTTTTCTCTTGTATTAGTCGAGATGTTGCGTATATACATCGAAAGAAATCTCAATAAATTAAATATTTTCTGTTATCTGTATTCACCCGCGTCTTTATTTTCTTTCTCCATCGTTTAATTTAATTGACGTTAATTCCAAAAAAAAAAATAGGTGGGTCCTATTAACCTTTTTTTCGAATCGCACGAGTTGTTAATTAACTGTAGATCTAGAGCGTGAGGCGCCGTGCAGTCTGTAACGACACAAGCTGATATCTGTGTGCTCCCACCCTGATTAACCCCTTCTTTCCCGTTCAAACCCTCGTATTTGGGACGGATGGAAATAAAGCAAATCCTCTCTATATTACATCTGCAATTGATTCTACACAGGATATCGCACAATTATCGGATGTGTCTTCTAATCGTTTTTCTTTTCGATCACTTTAGTGGTCATCGTTTATTATCTCCTTCAATCCTTTCTCTACTGTGCCGTTAGATTAGACTACATCTCGAATTAAAATTCATATATCGAAGTGAAGTCACGAGTCATACGAGCTTGGAACTAGCTGTAGAAAATAATTTTCTCATTAATCCTTCCATCCCCCAGAGCTTGTTTTGTTTTTCCTTTTTCAACCCTTACGCGAAGACCCGTAAGCGCCCGAATGTTCTCGCCGAGGACGGACTCCGAAATCGAGCAAATCAATCGGCGATGAAAATAACAATGCAATAGTTTTGAAAACATCCCGTACGAATTCGAGGCGTACTGGTCTGGCTGGTTTGCGCGCGGGATGAAAGCCAAGTCAAGCTCGAGTCAATGGACCTAAGGCAACCGCACGTTCTGCTCACGTGGAAGACAATAAATATCAGGATTGTTACAATCTCGAACTAGCCTGTCGCGTAAATATTCCCGGAGGGCTCGTCTAGACAGAAACTGCGTCGGTGCAACGAACACAAATATTTGTGGTAATATATGTGGCAATACAGTTGCAAAAGCACTCACAATTGAATGAAATTATTGAACGCAACGAACAAGAATAATCCTGCTGAAGTTTTGAAATGACTTTTTAGAATAAATCCGATTCTATTAATACTATCAAGGAATAATCTTTTGCGCAATATAAGAAATTGGAGTCTCTTACGAGCAAACATTTTATTAAAAAGAAGAAGATAAATAAATTGAACGCTCGTCTTCCTTATAAATATAATTTTATTCTATAATATATTTATATATTTTAATATATTCTAGTATTTATTCTATATATATATATATATATATATATACTGCACTCTAATTCGTACGAATTGTTTTTATTTTCTAATAAATTATGATATACTAAATTAATAAATAAATATCTTGCGAGCTAGACACGTCGCAAATTCGCCGTAATTAACAGTGGAAAACGTACGATATCCTGTCAAACTGTTTACGACCGTTACATAAAATATTGCGTGCAGAATGCAAACTAAACGGCATTGAGTGCACGGTGGGAGTTGCAACGGTGAATCTACGGTACCGCGACCGTAGGTGGTTTTGCCGAGACGCAAACGTTTTATCGTCATGCGCTCGGAGCACACGCCTGACGAAATAAATCGATAGTCAGTTCTTCGCTGCTCTTGCGCTCGTACGCGACGTTTCCCATTTCGCTTTTTGCCAATGCAATTTACACGGGGAATAAAATGCTATTTTGCAACGTAAATACGCGCCCGTGGCAATTAGAAAAATTGTTACCTCAAATATCAACCATTGGTCATCCATTTTTCATAAATTTCACTCGCTCTGCTTTTCCGCAGGAAGGATGTGCGTCAAAATTGCATAAACGCAATTTGGCGTCTCTCAAACTCTCGAAGGAGAAAAGTGCACGCGCGACTTTTTCTCGCGACTAAAAAAAAGTCTGGAGTAGTTTTGTATTATTTCTTTGCTGTCATATTATATATTTTTTGCCATAACAAAACTACAGAAAGGTTAGTTGCAAGATCGATATTAGATTTATTTAATTACTCGTTTTGTAAGCAGCGGGTGAAAAACCTATCGTCGTGAGCGCAACGTTGAGCCGAGATTTTCGAGGGAACGAGGCGTAAAGGTGGTGTCGAGTTACATCCATTTAATTCCAGAGGATCTCATTTCGCTTACTCCGCGAGAGCGATTTGTTCACCAGCCTGTGATACGCCATGCAGAAATTAGAGATGCAAATAGAGTTCGCATCGTGGCCGGTCATTATCGCATCTAATAGCGACGCATAAAACTTGCTCATGGTAATATATTTCCAGTAACTAAAACGAACGCTTCTCGTTTTGCTGAAAGCAAGCACAAAGCGCAAATCGTCGCGATCTGACGTGCCGTATCGACTTGGCGCGACATTTTTCTGAATGGTCAACAGGCATGATATCTCCTGTATAAATAAACCTTGCTGTGTCTATACACCGCAAGACGTACACTCGATCCTCACCTCAGAAAAGATTTGCGAATGATGAATTACGCGCTTCCCTTTGTGCGCTTGGAGATTTGCAGTGAAAAATTTTCCGAGTCAAGATCGTCCTGAACGAGGAAAAGTAGGGAAGCGGAGGAAAAGCTCCTTCAGACGCTTCGCGTATCATCGAGTCATATAAATAACGTAGTTAAAGAGAAGAAAAGAATATAAAAGAAGAACGGAATGTTGAAAGTTACACTTTTTACGAACTCGTTCTTGTAACAGGCATTGCTTACGTCATTACTCGTGATATTTATGTTAAACGCGTCTCATCAGCAATACTAATTGCTTCGTCGTCTATTTCAGGAAAAAAAAACACATTTATAGATGATTCAGTAGGATACACGACTTTCGACAATCTTTGTACAATGAAGAAAGCGTGACTATATTTGATCCTCATCGGCACGCAGAAAACATGTGTTTATGTACGCCAGAATTGCGTACGCAAGCGAATCTGCTTCACGTGGACTACGCCGACGTGTCTTAAATAATTCAGCAGACCGTTAGTTCCTCCATATGAAAGAGAGATATCCCCTTCCGTGTCCGTTTCACTCCACTCTTTCAGTAGTCTTTCAGTAGTCACTTTCTTTCAAAACGGGGAAAAACTTTCATTACGTCACTTTTCATTGACGTAGAAAAACAAGGAAGAGCCATAGAGGAAAAACTACGTGGAATGAAAGAATTTTGTTATCGTAGCGAAATTGCAACTGCTATCGTATCTATCTGAAAACAATCAAATATTGTTACTGTCAATATTATTGTCAATATATACTTGTCAATATATATTGCGATACTTCATTTGAGTGATAAGTCTTGAAAGAGTTTGTTTATAGAAACATACATGAATTTCCTGTTTCTATTAAAATGATGCATTTTACTAACGATTTTATTATTAAAAGTAAAAACGAAATAATTTACAGGTTCAACAAATTATTCTCAAAATGACTTATCGAACAAAATTTGTTCGATAAGTCTTAACGAAAATATGATTTGATATTGATATTACACAGTTGAGAAGATCAGCCTTTTGATAAAAAATTCCTTGATAACTCTTACTTTCTGTCGACTGTGCGTAAGCAATAAAAAGAAGATAGCTTCCATTTACAGTACGCGTAACGTGAATCGACATACTTTTCTTTAAAAGGTATAAATTAAGAGGAAACCTGCATTCGTCGACTCTCAGAAATTGAAAGCAGTTCACTACGATAAAACCTCTCGTGAGTCTCTTTTACTGCTTCGATAAATTCACGCAAAAGTATACCTGATCAATAACTAACTGCGGATAAACATTTAACAAAGTTATTCGAAACTTCCCTCGTGGGAATGCACGAACAAATTGCAGTTAACATTCTGCTTCGAGGCTACAGAAGACTGACTCGAATTCAAGACGCCACGAACGCACTTAAGGAATCCTTGCGTGCACGCCGAAAGTGTCTGAATTGCTCCAAAGACATCAATTACACGTCAATTACACATCAATTACATAACGTGACTGATAACTTCATTATATCAAATAGATACATATATTGCAATCTCGACAAGTAATGACTCTTCTTTTTCTAATTTTAACTTTAAAACGGGAATCTAATTCTAAAATCTACGCCTGATTTTTCAATAATGATTATAAATATTAATGTTTTATTTTTATTTTTATAAAAGGATTAAAAATGGCAGTCTAATACTTAACATAACAATTAAATTTTTTCATCACATATAAATAATTAAAAGAGGATGAAAAAAGAGGATCATAAAGTATAAGATGTTAATGTCAAGACAACTTTTGTCGTATTTCTTTTTCCTATTGGCTTTTTCCTATTATAATTAAATGATGGTTTTTTTACAAGACAAATACATATTATTTTCTACCGCGAATGACACGTCTGAAGTTGCGGTTTTCCGGATCAGACATGAGCGTGATCTGAGCTGCGGTTTTCTTGACGGTCCAGTCTGGAGAACCCGTTGCGGGCAACAGTCTGTACTCGCAAGTGTACTCACTTCACTTGCTGTCTGGACAGGGACGCTTTAAGGGCTTCCGGGGCCCCTTAGGGAGCGTGAAAGAAGTCGCTAAACATAGAACCCGGACCGTCGGAAGGGAAGCTCATTAATTCCCGTAACGATTTATAACGCCTGATTCCTTGT